CTGGTGAATTACACAATGGTCCTCAGAGCCTGAAGGCCCCCCCCCCGCCCCCCCCGCCCCGCTTCCTTTTCCCTGCCCCCTCATCCCATCCCCTGCTGATTTTTTTTTTTTAATATATATGTATATATGTATTTTTTTGCCTGTGCTCTCCGGGGAAGTTTGCATGGGGCTACTAGCTCACATGCGGGATCAGAATGGTGTGAATGACAGCCGCACTGTGTCATGAAGGTGGTGGTGGTTTCAGCACCAGAGACCAAATAAGAAGAAAGCTGAGAGAGGGGGGAAACGCTTTTGGATGACAAAGGATGGGTGAGTGAACTTTTGTTGTTTTCTTCTTAGCAAAGCTGAATCCTCTTGGCTTTCTATCCTCAGTTGTGGCATTCGCTGGTAAAAGCCGGGGAAACAGGCAAAAAGCAGCAGCCTTTGAGTTTGCCAGTTGATTCACTATAGTTGCTATTATATTTTTAGATCATTTTCCTTTTTTGCAGGTTTTTTTTTTAATCCATAAATGCATAACACGGACTTAAACAGACTCTAGAGAAATATCTTTAAGACTGTCTCTACCGTCTGTTTATCCACAGCTTGGGAATTGAGCATGAGATAAATATTGTGTTTGCTTCTATTTCTTGATAATATTAGCCACGCTTGTATTTCTGGTTTCTGTCAGGAAGATTAACACTTAACAGTGTGTGTAGGGGTGGGGTCCTTACTTTTTAGAGGTTGAACAAGGGCTTGTTTTATCTTCGAAGCTGTATCCTGAACCCATCTTCCAAATTTCCAGCAGTCATTTGCCAGTCTTATTTTTTCAAGTGTGACTGGCTTCACCCCCCTACACCCTCCTTTCTCCTGTCTGGGAGAGCTGGAATGTATTTCAATGAGTCTGTAGCTGGCAAGAGGACAGAGAGTAAGATCGGGTTTTAAATTAAAGAAAAAAAATACTGCTTGAGAAGGAGGGTTTTTAGATTAGAGGTTGGGCTGATTGTCTCTTGGTTAAAAATATAAAAATTTAAAGGAAAAAAAGGAACTGTAACATACGGTAGTTTTTCCCCACCGTTAAGAAATAATAAATCTACTGTTGACAGAGAAAAGAAGTCCCTTAACATGCAAGGACTAGGAAATGAAGCCTAAGTGCCAACAGATTGCAACTTTGCAGGCTTTCTGAAGTTAATGGAGGTAGGGCAGGAAAAAAAAAAGTCAGTGGGAAAGGTGAGGAGGAAGATAATAGTCTGCAGTTTATTTCCTTGTTTATTCTTCAAATCTGCAGAAACACCTATATTAAAAATAACAGCAAACTAATACTACCGGAGACTATTTTGCATTTTTTGCAAATATTTAATAAGAATTTGACAGTCTTAACTTTATAGTGTTCTCTATTAGGAGTAGGTCTCTGAGCCCCTGTTAGCACTGGGCAGAGAGCCACACATACAGACATTAACAAACTGAGAATACCTCACAATTATTAGTCTTCATACCATGTTACGTTGGCTGACCATACTAGTCCCAATGACATTTTTTTCTAGAACTCATATACTGCCGTTTAATTATGCAATAAGTATACAATTTCGGGCAGGACAAACTTGGTTTAACCCTGACAGCTTACTGAAGCTGCTTTGCGAGAGTACATCCTGCTTTCTCAACTAGGAAAGATGAACAAGCACCCGGTTTACTAAATCACATTTTGCCCTTACCAGAAGACATCATACACTTTTTTTTTTTTCGTACTGTGGTTCAACACATTAACTAGCTGAATATTATTGTTATTAAAATGTCAGCATTCAGTGATAAAAAAGGCTCTGTGTTTTTTTTAATGTTGAGGTACATAGGAACTCCTGAACTCAGAGAGTTTTTTTAGTTCTAAGGCACTGGGGTGATGTGAAGATCAAGCAAGAAAGAACAAACAGCAAGCATGCAATGTTGAAGAAAATAATGCTTTTAATGTTAAACACCTTGTCCTTAAATCCACTGTCCCATTACTACATTAGACAAAATGCCTCTAATATTGGTAAGCTGGTAGTGATTTATTTTAATAGCTTCACAATGTATGTCTGTCTTCTTTTTAATATTGTAGGTTTCCATTTAATTACACAGCTTAAAGGCATGAGTGTGGTGCCGGTGCTACTCCCTACACTGCTTCTTGTTATGCTCACGGGCGCTCAGAGAGCTTGTCCAAAGAACTGCAGATGTGATGGCAAAATTGTGTACTGTGAATCTCATGCTTTTTCAGATATCCCTGAGAACATTTCTGGAGGGTCACAAGGCTTATCATTAAGGTTCAACAGCATTCAGAAACTCAAATCCAATCAGTTTGCTGGCCTTAACCAGCTTATATGGCTCTATCTTGACCATAATTACATTAGCTCAGTGGATGAAGATGCATTTCAAGGGATCCGTAGACTGAAAGAATTAATTCTAAGCTCCAACAAAATTACCTATCTGCACAATAAAACATTTCACCCAGTTCCCAATCTCCGCAATCTGGACCTCTCCTACAATAAGCTTCAGTCATTGCAATCAGAACAATTTAAGGGCCTTCGGAAACTCATTATTTTGCACTTGAGATCTAACTCACTAAAGACTGTGCCGATAAGAGTTTTTCAAGACTGTCGTAATCTTGACTTTCTGGATTTGGGTTATAATCGTCTTCGAAGCTTGTCCCGAAATGCATTTGCTGGTCTCTTGAAGTTAAAGGAGCTCCACTTGGAGCACAATCAGTTTTCCAAGATCAACTTCGCTCATTTTCCACGTCTCTTCAATCTCCGCTCAATTTACTTACAATGGAACAGGATTCGCTCCATTAGCCAAGGCTTGACATGGACTTGGAGTTCCTTACATAACTTGGATTTATCAGGAAATGACATCCAAGGAATTGAGCCGGGTACGTTTAAATGCCTCCCCAATTTGCAAAAATTGAATTTGGATTCTAACAAGCTCACCAATATCTCACAGGAAACTGTCAATGCATGGATATCATTAATATCCATCACCTTGTCTGGAAATATGTGGGAATGCAGTCGGAGCATTTGTCCTCTATATTATTGGCTTAAGAATTTCAAAGGAAATAAGGAAAGCACCATGATATGTGCAGGACCTAAGCACATCCAGGGTGAAAAGGTTAGTGATGCTGTGGAAACATATAATATCTGTTCTGAAGTCCAGGTGGTCAACACGGAGAGATCACACCTGGTCCCCCAAACTCCACAGAAGCCTCTGATTATCCCTAAACCTACCATCTTCAAATCTGATGCCATCCAACCCACCCTTGAAATACCAAGCCCTTCTCCAGGGTTTCAGATTCCGGACACAGAGCAAGATTATGAGCATGTTTCATTTCACAAAATTATTGCTGGGAGTGTGGCTCTCTTTGTCTCTGTGGCCATGATCCTCTTGGTAATCTATGTGTCTTGGAAACGCTACCCAGCAAGCATGAAACAACTCCAGCAACACTCTCTTATGAAGAGGAGGCGGAAAAAGGCCAGAGAGTCTGAAAGACAAATGAATTCCCCTTTACAGGAGTATTATGTGGACTACAAGCCTACAAACTCTGAGACCGTGGATATATCGGTTAATGGATCTGGGCCCTGCACATATACCATCTCTGGTTCCAGGGAATGTGAGGTATGAGCCATGATCCTCCTAAAAGCATTTCTACTGCGGGGAAGGAGAGGTAAATGTTTGAAGCTCTAGAGGTGTCTCTAATCACTAGAAAGATTAATGACCCTTTTGCTTTTGGGTTTTGCTTGGTGTGAAGGTTACTTAATTAAATTACAACCACCAGGAAATTGACTGCTTTTTCTTTCTTTTTTTTTTTTTTCTAATGGTTGAAACTTGAAGGAAGTTCATTCAAGGATGAGATTAAGTTGGAATAAAGCACTATGTTAAAACATCTGTTTTTTAACAGTTTGTATACAGGGGTTGGACTTAAAAACACATGCAAACAAAACTCTTTTCTTTCTGAAATTTATGTCTGGTTCTTGATGTTTGACTTTTGTAACAAAATAAAGATAGGAGGGGCCAGCTTAATTTAAAAAGAAAGTGAGTTTACCAAAATTCCAGGACATAATGAAGATTTAAACCAAAGAGCAATTTACCCAAGGGTTGATTTTGTTGTAAATTTTTAGTTTTGACTGAAGCATGCAACAGGGATTTCACAGCCGTGTTACTTGCTGTTTAGTTATTATACCAGCATAGAGAATGTCAGAGGCCTACTGTGTAATTGTATCACGCTTATAAGACTTTCTTTCTCTTTCTTTCTTTCTTCTTTCTATCTCCCCTTCCTTCCTTCCTTCTTTCTTTCCCTTATGTTTTAAAATTACTGGGACATATATCAGTTTTCAAAGGATTTTTAAGTGCTGGCTATTTGTGTGTATTCAGAATGAAACTTAAATTCTATGTTTTGGCTTTGTCCCTGGTAACTAAAATCAGGTTGTGATGTTGTGGATGATGTAGCAATAACATAATGACAGGCATAACAGGGACTATTTGTCTGTGTTGCTGTCATCCCCAAAAGGAATAAGTATTCTTGTTAAACTTATGCAAAATTAAGTGATACAAATATTTATAAATACAAGGAGAGAGGTTTGAGTTCTGAGTATTCTCCCTTTCTGTGACAGTCTCAAATGAAAGTATATATTTCATGTTCTATCCTTTTCGTCTTCGTGAGAATAAGTTTGGGCCTATTTCCTGATTATTTAATTTTAAAGATCACTTATAGAAGCATGTTAATGAATAGAAAAATAGTCACAAATTTCCAAATTGTCAATAAGTTATACTGGATGTAAATTGTTCTTTTCTTGGTAAAGGTGATCATTATGTGCAATGACTGACTGCCAAGGCCTTGTTGCTGGAGAGAACTGGTGAAGAGAGGTTGAGTTCTGGCAATATGCTGTTTTAGCATCTTATTTTAGATGAGTATTTTTTCAAAAGAGAGTTTTAATGAGTATTTAAAGACTTTGACATTTCTAATGTTAGTTATAGCAGTTGGAAAATATAATTTGCTCTTCAATAATATATACTCTAATTTTTTCATATTCCTAAATACAGATGCTAATGAAAATGTTTTCAGACAAAGCACTGAATTTGAAATAATCTCCAACTTAGTACAATTTGGACTATTGAACTGTTCTTCACAGAGTTCATTTTCTTCTTTTTTGTGTATCATTGAAAATAAGAGAAGTAATCCCAGATAATAAAACTCTAAAAGAATCCTGTATAAGCAATTGCCCTTAAAAATTAAAGTGAATAAAAGATTTTCTATAAAAGTCTAACAAGGCTTGATGTTTTTATTACAGGCCCACATTTATTCAATATAGATGAATATTAGTAACACAATTTCATCCTATTTTATCCTGAGTTCTTGATTATCTTAAAGGCTAGTAAGATAAAGAGAAAAGGAAAATCGAGGTTCATTGATTCATTTTCTCTTGTCTTTTGTAGAATGGTGATTTTTATTTATAAGAATCACCAGGAAGAAAGAAAGATTCTTAAAGAACTAGGACTTGAAAACAGCAATTCTAAAACTTTTCCAGAAATCTTAAATTCCACCAATCATTTCTTCGAAAACCCTAGGCATTACCATGATAAAGTAAAAGATTTTTTATTCCATAAAAACATGGGTGTTTAAAAACACGTTCTGATACTATATTATATAAAGTGGAGTTCAAGGTCACGAAATTTCACTAGCATTGTTGGGAATGAATGGGTTGTTAAAGCATCAAACAATGAAGAATTTTATTAAATATTGTAAGGATACTATTAAGTCTAAATGGTGGCTCTACTGAATTAGGTCAAACTTGCCATGCCCAGAAACTTGGAAAATGATAGGCTGTCCTTTGAAGACCATTACCTCAATTTGGGAGGATGAGAGGCTGCAATAAAACTCCATTTAAATGAATATTAAGTTACTTTGAAACACAGACACACAAAAATAATTGGAGTTGCCACCCATGTTTTTGATAGGATGTTCAGTATATTACAGTTATAGGTTGATATTAAAAATAAGAAAAATAAATCGTTAGGAATTGGTAATTAGGGAAACCCCCCTATCCCCCATATTTCTTTGTCACCCCAGAGTAAAATTTTTCCTGTTGAGAAAATTTCCATTAGAGAAAACTTCTCCACAAAATGAAGCAAAGAGAGGGGAATGATCTGTGCAAATTTATGATTTTTAGAAACACTAAAGATATGCTGAATTTTAGCTGGTGTTGTTTTTATACATCTCATGTATCAATAGCATAGAAAATAAAAAAAAAATTGATATATTTACAATACAATTTTATGCTGCAGGATTTTTTTTTTTTTTTTTTATTGAAAACACCAAACTTTACCCAAAAAAGCCATAAATATTTAACTGGAAAAGTTAGCATCAAGTGCTAATTTTCTAAGTGCCTTGAAGGAAAAATAAGTTACATTAAATTGAATAGTTCACTCTCCTCCTAATTCATATTCAGTTATCATGACCTAAATATAATTCAAATAGTCATTTTGTTTCTTTTAAGAGGAAAATAAAAATATTAATATTCCTCATTTGTATGGCATCTGTGAACCATCACACAAATACAACATGCAATTTTCAAATTAAATAATTTGGCTCCACATTTTGCAAGTTTTAATTTTAAAAAGTCTATGTGCACACACCATACTAATAAATTAAAAGATAATATTTTAATAACTTAGGTAGTAAAAATTTCTTGTATGTATAAATGAGGAATAATTAATATGATATATGGCACAAATATAAGAGATACGTACATTGCAATCATCATACTTTGGCAGATCAATTCATTTGGTTGAACTGAATCATTTAATTTGTCTGTCCTCAATATGTACTTAGAAAAGATAACTTAAAACCAGAAGGGTACAGCTTTGCCTAAAACTTAGTGATGTGTCATTAAAAATAGAGAAAATTGCAAACCACTTACTTTTGAAAATACTTTGTGAAACTTTGCATAATTTTATCTCATTAAAAAATATTACAGGGTTATGAAGTTACTTCAGTAAGTATACCAAATTTTTTTTTAGAGATTGTAAAGAACAAAGTTTTGAATACCTAGTTCTTCTAGGATTGGTTTTATCAACTGCAAATAGCCAGCACCTTTATAAAAGTAGCCAATGTGAATATAGGAAAAGAGAGAACATTCTAGTTTATGTATTACATTTAAAAAATGAAATTGGTGAAACCTTAAAATGAATGAAGGTAGTCTCTAAAGAGAATTTCCATCCAAAGTGTTTTAAAAGTTAAGTAAGTGAAATATAAAGCTTAATGATCCCATAATGCTAACAGTGCTACCATTAGGAAAATGGCAGTATTGGTGACAATATAGGTATATATTCTTCAGTTATACAGTATTTTGGTTACATACTTCAAAATCAGGTAAAATAGAAGAAATACTGGTTTACAGTTTGGGCTAATACTATTTCTTTCACTGCTATGCTGTGGATGATATAGACCATTTCTAATAATTTATATTTGTTGAATGTATTAGATCATGTTCAAACTATTGACTTAAAGTGGACAATTAACTTCTTTTGACACTTTAGTAATTGACATTTTGTGATGTACTGAAAGGATTTCCAAAGACTACAATGCATGATATATATTCAAAAGGGATTCTAAGTGAGGCAGGCCCAGTATCATTGAATTTAATTAATATTTTACCAACATAAAGCTATTAAAAAAAACTGTATTTAGGTGTCTCACTACTACAGTGTCATGGTAAAATGTTATAATTGAAATTATATTTGTATATTGATGTACAGTATATTTGTGTGTGTTTGTGTGTATGTGTGTGCATGTGTGTAGTGTTGAAATAGAGAGATAATATAAATATTTTTCCATGAGACTTGATATCCATTTTGAACATTTGAATTAGTAGTGAAAAAAATCTTGGGTTAAAATTACCAGGATTTGTTCATCAGGAATGTATTTTTTAAGGTAAATGTTTTATCATCTTTAAAAATCACTAGTACCTTACATCTCCATGGTCTAAAATTATTTTTATGAAAAAAAATTAATGTAGTCAAGTCTGTATCTATACTACATATTGCCATTTTTGGCATTACTTTTGGCTAGTCACTTCATTTCTGTGTGACCCAAATGAGAGTATTCTACCAGCACAACATTTCCCAACTAAAGGCAATTCTCAGATTGGTACACTTTTCTCTATGGTCATTCTCAGGACTGAAAAAGCAAGATGAGGTATGAGAGAAAGCCTGGGTTATTTATATTCATTTGTCAATGAGAAAATAATCAGCTCCTTGACTTGTTAAAAAATGAGGTGCTCAGGTAAACAGCCATGCAATTTTTTTATGCTTGAGTGGAAGATATACAACACATACAACTAGAGAAGTGCGTGAGCACACATGCACATGTGCACACACACATAGGAGGGGTTTTCAAAAAGTTCATGGGAAGATTTGTATTATCTTTTTTTTTTTTTCCTTTTTGTCTTTTTTCGTGACCGGTAATGGGATCGCAACCCTAGGTGTCGCGCCCGCATCGCGCTCAACCAGTGAGCGGACCGGTCTCTATATGGGATCCGAACCCTCGGCGGGAGCGCTGCCATGCTCCCAAGTGCTGCACTCTACCGAGTGCGCCACCGGGCCGGCCCCTGTATTATCTTTTAATTCCATTTTCCACAAACTTTTTGAAGTACCATTGTATATGACTTTTAAATTCTGCCATGTACTTAAAACTATGGCTGCTTTTTAAAAAATCAATTGTCTGAATTTGATCCAATTAAAATCTATTTGTGAATAGAGTTTTTGTGTTAGAATTTGCAAATGAAAGTAGTAAAGAGTGACAGGTGCCAAAAAGGTCTGATATGGCTAATTTAGGAAGGATTTTTAAACTGACAATTTAATCCTTCAATTCTTTTTCTAGAATTAGTTGATATTGGCATCTCATGGACAAGGTTTTAACAAGTGGTTGTTCTCTTAGATTCCAAGCTGGGGCATCTGACTCTGGTCTTAGGAATGTATAGCTTGTGACACACCCCAGTAATATTCATATGATACCAGAATTTTTTTTTCTTGAGTTTTTTCTAAATTCAGTAAAATCTAATCATTCCTAGCTCTTCTCAGGAATTGCATTTATAAATCGTTTCATGCCTTAGAAGTTGCTCAGTAATGTTATCATTGAGGACTTGGTTGACTCATCTGAATTTTCATGTCTCTAGAGTTTCATAATTCACTGAATCAAAGTGAAACAGTGGCAACCTGTATATCACCAGACACAGGGAGTTTTGAAAAATTAGTATGTCTTTTGATCAGTGAAAAGCATGAAGTGATGTTGAATATGTTTTAAAAATTAAAATTGCTTTTTATAGTACCAGAAGAACCATCATTCATTGAGTCAGTTTAATAAAATCTCAATATTCTTAAAAGGAAAGAAAAATTATGGGGCTATTTTTCTCATGCACTCCATAAGCCATTAAAGTTTTAAGTGTAAGTTAAGGAAGGTTGAGAAAAACACAGTATTCCTATGGTATCAAAGCCATTGGCTTTTTAATGAACATCTTCTTAAATTTGCTAGATATGTGAAAAGGCTATGTATTTAAACTCCTTCTAAGCACTTTAAAAATAATGCTTTCACTGTCAGGAGAAATTAAGGTCTAAAAAAAATGGAGCTATGGGAAATTAGTCCTTTAAAAGTAAGATGTTTGCCCTTAAGTCGAATCTATTCATTGTACTATTTGTAAACATAAGGAGTGGGAATGAAATCACAGCAAAGCTGATATGCATTTATAAAGGTTTTTTAAAAAATGGTGACAATATAAAAAAATCATAAAAATCTTGTTCAAAAATTATGAAGAAGAATGAATAAAAGGAAAACATTGAACACAAGCATATGCCTGGATATCAAATAAATAAATAAACAAATACATTATTAAATAGGTTATGACATTTAGCATTAATCACTAAATCTGGCAAGAATGGTCACATTTTTCCTTTTTATCTTATTTTTAAACACAAATTCTTCCAGTAAAAGAAAATAAGTTTTAGTAAACATTTTAATCCCAGGTTTTAAAAGAAAGTTGTAAAGGTAAAAAGAGTGACTATAACTTCAACATTTCTGGCACAAATTTACAATTTTCATTTTTTACTAATATTTCAATGGTTGGGTTCTTCGAATCTCATTAAGTTTAAAAACTAAAAAGTGCATTAATTTTAACAGTGCATTTGAATGTCTCAAACCAGATTAAATAAGATTGATATGGATGAATTGCTTAAGAGAACTCACTCTATTTTAGGTTGTAAATAAGCAAAATAT